GCCACTGTCAGAGTGGAGACGTAGCACAGGCTGGCCGCGATGTATTCACACAGCTATGACCCACGAGATAAGAACATCAGGCACGTTGGCCTTCCGCTCCAGGAGAAACACCGTGGTGTAGCGCGTATAGTCGTCAAAGAGCACTAGAAAGTAGAGCTCGCGACGCGACCCAAGGACGGGGGCTGTGTCCCAGACGTCCAAGTGCAGGGTCTGGAGTGGCACAGTGGTAGGGGGGAGCGAGGAGAAGTGAGGAGTACAGCGCAGCCGACCTTCGACGCAGGGTGTGCATGGCGTCGTGGGGGAGGGTTGGAGGGCAGGGAGCAAGGCAGGGAGACCTAAGACAAGACCGTGCTGGGACACGTGACGCAGACGCGGGAGTGCGTGGTGACCTAGGCGGTGGTGCCTCAGAAGCAATGGGTGAGTGAGCGACTGGCAGGAGCAAGCCGCAGAAACCTGAAAGGGTGCGGCCACCTGAGGGGACGCCGCCACTAGGGAGGAAGCGGAGTGAAGCGTAAAATGGCGAGACATCAGGTCCTGGGGGAACGCGGTGAGAGGGGCACCAATGGTGGCCTCGGTACAGACAGAGAACCGCTCGTGTCCAGGGAACGGAGTGGTATTGCCAAGGTCCTGAAGACAGCCGACACCAACTAGGTTCCTAAAGAACGAGGGGATGTGCAAGCTTGTAAGGGAGCCCGAGGGAACTGCGGGAAAGGAAAGGGTGGTGGAGCTACGTGCAACTACCGGATCTAAAGAGGGGTCAGCAAGCGTGACAACGGTGGGAGTGGCAAGCGGTGTGAGAGCAGTGTGGTTGCGAAAGAAGCAGGTGGACGCATCAGAGTCTAGCGTGAAAGAAAGCGAGGCGGTAGCATCAGCCGGCTGAGAGGCTAAGGTGGGGCCTAGGCTAAACCAGGCAAGAGGTCCTACGCCTGACGCACCAGGGGAGCCTAGAATACACTAGGCAACACAGGGTAATAAGGTCCAGTCACACTAGAGTCATCAGCATACATGGCAGATAAGGCAGAGCGAATCTGATCCATATCCATCTTAAAGACCGGCAGAGAACGACGTACCAGTCTGTGCCAGTTGGGGGCGTCCGACGCAGGGCCGAAGCGGAGACGGAAGAGGTCGTCAAGGCGGCGATAGCAGCGGGCGGCGGTGTGGCCAAGATGGTCGCACACGGTGTCACGGCGGAGGCCGGATTGAAGCTGGTACTGGCAGGTCCCCACATTAGAGCCACCACCCGACACGGAGCAGCGCGGCCCGCCACGACGACGACCACCACCAAAGCCCCCAGGCCACCACGGCGGGGGGGGGTCCCCACAGCTGCTGCTGCTGCTGCTGTGACTACTACTGCTGCTGCTGCTGCGGCGGCTCCTACTGCTGCACCGGGGTATCAGCCCTGGTCCCCTCGTCAGCACTACCGTCCCCTCCACCACCTCCGCCACTCCCACCACCCCAGCCACACCTTCCGCCGCCACGCCCCCCCTGGTCCGGCGACCCCTACCCTGACGCGACTGCGCTGAGGCCGTCGCGGCGGATTCAGCAGCAGGGGTCGTCTCAGCAACAGCAGCACAGACATCAGAGTAAGTGCAGTGGGAGGGAGCACAGCCCTGGAAGATAGGGACCACCGCAGTACTACTCGACAGAGCGATAGTGCGCTGGCAGGTCTCTATCGCGGACAGTGTGGGGACAATGTCAGTGAGGGTGGGGTCAGCAGGGTAGAGGTCAAGGAAGTGGTCGCAGTCAGTGGCGAGGCGGTCAGGAAGGCGCGTGGCAAGGAAATAGAAGGTAGCGCGGAGGGGGGGAGGCAGTATAATGAGCTGAGCCTCAGTGCTAGCAGCGCGGTAACTATTCTTGAGTGCGCGCAAGTGAGTAGCGAGATCAGCGACAGTGGGGAAGGACGCGATGACAGGTAAGAGCACGAGGAGAAGGAGGCGGCCAGCAGAGGCAAAGGAGGGAGTGGAATAGCGCGCAATGATAGTATCTAAGTTCTCCTTCGCAGTCTCTACAGCCTGGTACAAGTAGCGCCCAGACGGGGTTAGGGCGTGACATATAGCAAGCTGCGCAACTGCGTTACGCGACTCCCAAACGGAGCGGGCGAGCTCTGCAGCTGCACAGGCCTCACGCTATGCGGGCTTGGAGGCGTCAAAGAGGGTAGTGGGCAGGTCGGGGCAGGGGATCTTACAGTCGACGTGGATGGCCAGGGACTGGCCATCCTGGCGCTGACCTTTAAACGAGCGGTGGAGGTCGGCTAGCCAAGCCTCAAAGTCGATCGCCCGACCCTCCACGTCCAGGCGGAGCACAGAGTCTGCCATTACCACAGCTGCAGCAGCTGAAAACGACAAGAGAAGAAGGATTAGAGTGCGGTAGAGTGTGGGGGAGAGCGGTGAAGAGCGGTGAAGAGTGGTGGTGGAGACGGCCGGCAGAAGCGCTGGCGTAGAGGGGAAGCCAAGGCCGGCAGGTCGGGGCAGCACAGTGGCACCACGGCAGGGTGACACAGCGGCACGGAGGCGCGGCGACTCGGCGGGGCGGCTCGTCGGCTCAACGGGATGGGATGCGGCGGGGGGGGGGAGGGGAGGAGGGGGGGGGTGCGGCGCAAAGTGAGGCCGGCGCGGATGCGGGGCCAGAAAGCGCGGAGGCCATGACAAGGGCTGGCGGGGCCGGCACGAAGTGGGGGGTCGGCGATCGCGGGGCCGCGACGAGGGCAGGCGGGCCGGCAGCAGGCTAGGGACCGCGCGGCGCTCTCAAGGGGGGAGGTGGGCCAGCGGCAGGCTAGGTACCGCGCGGCGCTCTCAAGGGGGGCCAGCGGCGGGCTAGGGGCCGCACAACGCGCTCGAGGGGGCACAGGCTAGGAATAGGGCACGGGCACGGGCTAGGGCTAGGGCTAGGGCGGAAGCAGAGGTGGAGGACCTAACATGGCGTAATTCCATCTCAGAGCAATCGAATGACTAGAATGAAGCATGCAGGGTGGTTTTGTGCTATAGTATTGTACTCTCTATGAGCATGCACCTATCTAGTCTATAACGATATATAAATATATGTTGACAAGGACCGACACGTTGACTTTCTGATACGATGGACTCATCGTACCAGCGAGGATGATACGTGGGTTCCCTCGGTACAAGTACAGTCGCCTAATGTACTGCTGGATTATTTATCCCGCAAGCCCGTCGCAAATATAGACCACCTTCGCTAGAGGGGGGATAGTGTAACGAATTCTCCATTCCTTAGCGCGCCACACTGCTAATGCGTACACCAACCCCACATGGCACCGACTGTTAAGAACTGTCTGAATTAGATCTAGCTAGGAATAGGAGGAGCCATGGAAATGGCGAATGGTTTAGCTAGGGGGCAAGAAGTTGAGGAGAGAAAAGAGAATCAGAATAGAAAAGAGAGGGATACAAGGAGGGGTGTTGTACCCTCTACAGTAAAGTTCAGTAAGACTACCAAGCCTACAATTATCTACTAACATATATAATTTAACACACCCCCTAGGCTTGGTAGACACAAGCCCACACACACCCACACCCCCTAACCTAGCACCCCCATTCCAGCCACAGTGACAGCGACACTAGCTAGGTCGACCCCTCGGCGCGTGGGGCGGCGACGTCGACCGCAGGGGCTGCGACGGCGACGGCGGCAGCGGCGGCAGTGTCGACAGCGGCGGCGGCGGCGGCGTGCGGCTGCGTGGCCCCGACGCAAGCGGCGGCAGCGGCAGCTTCGACAACAGCGGCGGCGGCGGCGGCGCCCGCACCTCTCGGTGACGTGGCCAGACCCCGCGACGGTGGGACGGCCGGCGGGAGTCAGCCGTCGTCTGCGGAAAGGAAGAGGACACAGGGGAAGGAGGGGGGTGTCACAGGCTGGCATGCGGGCGGCCGGTCTAGCGGCGCCACTGGCGTCGCGCGGCCGGCTGCAGCCCAACGACGCCGTCACAGAGCGGCGTCGATGCCGCGGCGGGACGTCGACGCTGCGACGGCAGCAGGACGGCAGCGCGTCGGGACGGCAGCGGCACGACGCGGCCAGCGGCATCACGACGCCGCCACTGCAGCACAACGCGGCCGCCATGGACGCGCAAGCGAACGAGGGCGAGGAGTACGCAGAGGAAGCGTGAGGAGGCGGTCCAGCAGGGAGGACCTTCTGCTCTGATAGCATGTTAAGAACTGAGTGAATTATATCTAGCTAGGAGTAGGAGCCATGGAAATGGCGAGAGGTTTAGCTAGGGGGCGAAAAGTTGAGGAGAGAAAAGAGAATCAGAATAGAAGAGAGAGGGATACAAGGAGGGGTGTTGTACCCTCTACAGTAAAGTTCAGTAAGACTACCAAGCCTACAATTATATACTAACATATATAATTTAACACCGACATCTGCACTAGCTTTGTCCTGAACACGGCACCGAACCATTTCCGCGTCACTCCGTCCTCGGAGGCCTTCCTCGAACCTGTTCTTCAATTCCATGGCTAGGATTGCTGTGTTGTTCCTATATCTTGCTTCGTCACTCCATTGTACCACATTCTGTTATTCTTAATCTCGACATTAGATTTAGCGCTACTTTGGTAAAATGCTCATAACAATAACTGTGCACATGTTACAGTACTCGTAGATGTGCGTCATTCGCAGAGGGCCACCGTAGTGACCTGCATCCACGCTTGCCATCTGGGTTCGACTGTCTGAGCATGGCTGCATAAGGCCAATGGAATCGCGCTAATTGCGCTTCGAGGTTGGCCATCGAATCAACTGCTTCCGCTTGCCTCACCTCAGCTCACCAGTCAGCCATGCAGCCCCCACAACATTTTCACCCCAACCTAGTCGTCGCGATCTCGTTCGCGAATTTCGCCCGTCGAAATTGCACCACGAATTTCACCTGGCCAGCACAACCCATTGAACCTCAAGCAAATCCTCATGTCGCGGCGCCACATGGAGGGGGAGGAACTCGCCACTGGCCGCAAGCCTAATTTCTATAAATCCGAGCCGAAGCACATCAAATACCATCTCCAAATATTACAGCCTCTGAATTTGCTTAGGTTTGCTCAGTCACTCCACATATCCGACACGCAGACTAACCAGTCTCGTCTCCACACGCTCAGACCGTAACCAGCTGTAGTAACTCTTTATTTCGTAGCAGTCTTTGGCTGCATAGCAGTAGCTGCACTAGCAGGAAGCCATGGCCCACAAAGCAGTAGCACCTCTTCTCGTTCTCTGCCTGCTTGCAAGTGCCACCGTCTCGCATGGTGCTCGGCCAATCGCCTCGACAGAAAACAGCGCTGAAACATTCCCGTCCGCGTCACTCCCTTCCTCGGAGGAGGGAAAAGAGTGGAGCCGAGAGAATGAAGAGACTACCAGCGACGACAGTGTCGTTTCCGTCTCCCTGCCTGGCTCTGATAACGTCATCGCTGCTGTCACGAATCCGCACCGCCACGTGGCTGCTAAGACCACGAGCAGCTTCAGCGTGTCGCTGCCCGGCTCTGACAACGAGATCGTCGCATTCGGGGTTCCTACGACGGCGGCGAACAGCGTCGTCGTCGTCGATGCGAGCGACGCAGTGGCGGTGGAGGGGGGGGTGACAAAGGAAGAGAACGACTCCACCGTCCACGTGTCGCTTCCTGGTTCGGACAACGAGATTTGGGCCGCCCACGTGCCCCACAGGACGAGCGACGTCGTCGTTGCGACCGACGCCGAGGCGGTGATGGAGGAAGAGGGGGCGACGGAGGAGGGGGAGGCGACGCCATCCGGAAAATCCCACCCCTGGAAATTCTTCCCCGCGGCGACAGCGACTGCTGCTGCCGCTTCTGCGCATCCTGCTTCTGACGACACCGACTCCACCTTCCACGTGTCGCTTCCTGGTTCGGACAACGAGATCTGGGCCGCCCACGTGCCCCACAGGGAGAGCAACGTCGTGCTTGTCACTGACGAGTCGGACCGCGATGCAACCACCACCGCCATTTCCACCTCTGCCACCAACGCCGCCACTACATCGCACGATGACAACACTGCGTCCGTGTCTCTTCCTGGGTCTGACAACATAATTGAGGCGTTCCACATTCGCGGTAACAAGAAAAAGACAACGTCTTTCCAGGTGTCGCTTCCCGGGTCCGACAATGTTATGACCGCGTACGGCGTGCCCGAGAGGAAGGGGATGATCGTTGTCGCTACGGAGGATGCGGAAGTTGCGGGGACGACAGTCGCAGAGAGGACGACTGTTGGCAACATTGCAGAAGCGAATACGAATGCAGACGACGTTTTCACGGTGTCGCTTCCTGGGTCCGACAACGTGATTGCTGCACTACACCTACCCGAGAAGCGCAAATTCGTTGTCGCGGAAGCGTAGCTTTGCTCAATCACAAGCGCAAATAATGGGGAGAAAGCCCCCATCAAATAATTATATCGATATAAGAATGGACTACATTTCCTCCTAGGAAAATAAATTAATATCTTCACTCTAGTCGTCTGTTTGTCTGCATACCTATCATTCATTAGTCTCCATTGTTCCCTGCAATGCAAACCCATGTGAACATTAGAAAAACGAAATCTTATAAACACGCCTATACCCTAGAAATTCGGCCGAGATGCCTTCTATATCGTATACCTGCCCAGTCAATGTAGGGCATGCAGTATGTCAGAATGGCGCAAAACGGGTACATGCCATTGTGTATGAGGTAGCCGACCCACACACGCCACAGTGCATACTGCCCTGTATAGTCACATTGCTCCCCCCCACCATCCTCCTCTCTATAAGCCGCGTCATCCAAGGCGAACGGAGCCCCTGGGTCAAGAAAGCGGCATGTCTGAATGTGCGCGGCAATCATTGCGCGAAGGGCGAGAGTGGCGAGAGCGAAAGAGAGGAGGTGGAGCAGTGCCAGTGAGACACCAAGGGGGAGGGAGAGATCGAAGACAGCATGGGAGGGTAGATGGTGAAGGATAAGGAGTAGTCTAGACTGGTCCGAATGCGCCGTGCTGTTGGTTATGGCCAGATGTGGGACACTGCATGTGGATCCCAAAATCTGAGAGCTGTTTGCTGCAGGACACGTGTCAGAAGGTTGAGAGAGGTTAGCTGTTGCTGCTGCTGCCAATGGTGATGAGGATTGCACAGTGCTGTCATACAGAGTGCCAGCCTGTGACACTGCAGCAGCAGCAGCAGCAGCAGCAACGCTCGATGGCAGGGCATGGCAGATCGTGCTGATCACGGGTACCGAGCAGACAGGAGCAGCAACGACAGGAAGAGCCAGCTGGAGCAAGCGCGGGAAGATGGCAAACAAATCCCGCCCTAGAGACGCCAGCAAAACGGCCATGTCGTGAGCCAGGAACGCGAGGGAAACAGCCATGGACCCCACCATGACGGTGCTGAACGCCATGCCCATCACCAGCAGCCAGAGGTTGAGGCGGCGGTTGAGCGGCGTCGCGTACGTGGTGAGCGCAAACAGCTGCCGCCGCAGGTAGCTCCAGAACTGGATGGCAGTGAAGTGCTGGTCTAGGGGGTGGGCTAGGAGCGCGTAGGCGGGTGCTAGCATGGGAAGATTGGTGTATGTGCTGGCAGCAGCGCTGGTTACCATACTCGTACTCATGAGGCCGCTGAGCTTTAGATGTTGGGCGCAGTGTGGGACCCTACAGGAAATGCTGCCCGGCTGCTGCTCTCCCTTTTCAGATTTCTGCTGGTTCGCCTCTTCACGGTCCTTTCCATACCCGTGCCAAGATTCCTCTTTGCACGCCTTGCTGCTGCCGCTGCTGGCTCTACTGCTGCTGCTGCTCCTACTACTGCTGCTCCTACTAATGCTGCTGCTGCCACCGCGCTTGATGCTGCTGCCCACAGCCCCCAGCGTCATGTCATCCGAGTACCCCCCCATCCGAAGCACATCCACCATGCCGAGCCTGTTGCTTCGGAAGTCCCCCAACCGCAGCATCATGCATCCGCCCCAGATGTACTCCGTAACGGCATCGTACGAGAAATTCACCAGCGGAACCAGATGAAACCCTAGCACCGCATACGAGAACAGTGATTTTGGGCTGGGGATGTCAAAAGGGTAACCCGTTACAAGGAATGTATCGGGTTTGGAAAGCAGGTCTGTTACAAGGTAACTGATCGCCTCTGGGAACATCCGTGCGTCGTCGTCCAGGAAAAGGACAAACTCGGCCTCCGGCCGGGCGGCAGCGACGCCGGCTAGCTGGTTGTGGATCTTTTGGCTGCACGTGGTGGAGGTGCCAGCAACCACCACGCGGACCTTCCTCAGATGCACCTCCCCCTGCTGCGGGCGAGCATTGCCAGGTTTATCTGGGGCCACCGCCTCCCCTTCACACAAAGCCTCCCCTCCACATTCCGCCTCCCCTGTGCATGGCGACCCCCCTTCCTCCCCCTGTTCCCGTCCTCCCTTCCCCTGCCCCCCGCCTTCCCTCCCGCCTTGCGCACCATCAGTCGTCTTCTGTCCGTTTTCTCCGTTATAAGCTGTGTCGAAACGAGCTGCGAGCTTAAGGGCCTCAGAATACGCGTCGTCCGCTTCGCTCTCAACGACAACGAGGAACTCCACCGGGCCCGGGTAGTCCGCCGTGACGTGCGTCGCCCAGTTGCTTGCCGTGTGCGCGTGGAACCCTTTCACCGGCATCACCACCGCCACTGCCGGCCAATGCGGACAACGAGTATTCGCGCTAGCACGCGATACTGGACCGAGATCGAGATCGAGATCGCCATCGTCATAGCTTATAGGGTTGTTCCCTGATCGCTGCGCGCCGAGCCTCCGCGAGGAGCGTTGACGAGGTCTTGCGCTGGTTGACGCGCGGCGGGAGCGGAGGCGATCGAGGGACTTGAGGCGATTGATGGCGGCGACGGACCAGCCGTACACGTGGAGGAGGAGCAACAGCACGCCCGCGACCTGCAAGGCGTGCAGGCAGACGTCTCCCGGGCTCATGGACGCGGGTCGGACACCGACCTTACGGACGGCTCGTCGATCCTGGCTTTTGAGAATTCTCAAAAACCAATTCAAACCAAGTCTCCCGGGCACATGGACGCGGTCGGGCACCGACCTTACCGGCGGCCCATCGATCCTCCCGTAACTGGTACGGATCGGGAGACGCCGATTTTCTAAGGACTACTTAGCGCTCAGGCGGCTCATCGACGCGGATCGGACATGGACCTTAGGAGTTTTACTTCGCGCTCAGATGGTTCGTTGTAAGAAACGGGAGCCGATGTTAATTAATTACTACTTAGTAGAGCTCAGACGTTGCCCAGACGGGGTCAGTCAGGCTGAGGAGGACTCGACGTTGCGCGAGAGCTTCTTTTCGCGATCTACCGAACAGCAAGAGACGACTTACGCGCGCGATAGCGCTTAGCCTGAATCAGGCAGGTGGAAACCTGGAGAGGAGCAAACCTAAATCAACCTTGGAGGCTACAGCTGGTGGGATGTGCACGAAACCAGACTGGTCATAAATTCGTGAGCTGGTCGTGAAGCGAAAGAAACCGGCCGAGGAGTGACGAGACGATGATCCGCGGCGCACTGACAAGTTTCTGCCAGGGAGGAATGTGCTGTGCTGTGCTTTTCTGTACAGTTCTGTGCTTTTCTGTGCGGTGCTGTCCTGTGCTGTGCTGCGCTGTGCATGCTCAAGTCGAGTTCAGTTCCGTGGATGCAGGAGCATCTGTGGCTGTGCGCGCATGGCGGGAACTGCTGACAGGTGAAGCCAGCGAAGATGGGCTGGCCTCGCACTCTGGCGTACGCGCTAAGCCTCAGAGGTGATGGATTGTGGAAATTGTGGAACTTCGTAAGACCGTCTTTTGAATTTGTGGAACCAAACATCCGTACTCCTTTTTCAACACAAAAGCCTCACACTACGTACACCGTTTCCCGATAATTTCTTAGGACATAATTTTACTCCGCGCTTCCGCCAATCTACCCAGAAGACAGAGTGGACTGCGCGAGGGACAGTCCTGCATTGTGCGGGACAATCCACGTTTATTGGTTAGGAAATCGTACATTCGCCCACAATAGCACCTTGAATGCAATTTATTGGTTAGGAAATCCACAACACGTAAGGGTGCCACTCTTGACAACCATATAAACCTATGCCTACCTAGAATGCATTTGACCGCATACACTGCTACCAGAAACTCCTCTAGCCATCAAACACAAATTTCCAGGCGTTTGTATCCCTGCCGCAACCCATCTCTTCCGACTGACGACCTATTTATCGGGATCACGAATATGCATTTTGATCTTTTTCCCTCCAACCCCACCCCAGCCCCCCTCTCTGCGAGCACCATTCTCATCAGCAGCTGGGCACTGCAGACGTGACTGTAACGGGGCCACAGGTGCTGGCGCCCGGCTTGCCAGCGCGGCACACCCTGAGGGTGACGGGGCCGCGCACCACCCTCCCTCTGAAGTTGACTAGCTGGAAGCGGTACGACCGCTGGCAGCCCCGCACCGGCCGTCCCAGGTCCAGGCGGATAAACCGAAGCTTGCCGACCCTGGCGGTGGACAGGGTGGGGGGGGGGATTCAGAGAGGTTGGATGGAGGGATTCAGAGGAAGGAGTGATTGAGAGGAGTAGAGGGGGGTCGAGGGAGCGTGGGGGCTTGCCGGCCCGGCACACTCTGAGGGTGACGGGGTCGCGCTCAACCCGGCCTCCGAAGTTGACTACTTGGAAGCGGTACGACCGCTGATAGCCCCACACCGTCCATCCCAGGTCCAGGCAGATCAACCGAAGCTTGCCAACCCTGGCGGTGGAAGGTTGGAAGGAGGGGGAGGTGGGGGGGGGGGAGGGGGGGGGCATATGAACCAGGGGGGCAGAAGAGCGTGCGAGAGGGGAACAAACCCTAAAAACGCCCACTGGCTGGCAACCTCAGCACTCAAACCAGCCAGCCTCACTTCTTGGCCTTGTTGCCGGGGGGAACAGCCCTGCAGCTCCCGAGCGGTCTCAGTACAGGAGGGACATAGAGCCCAGCGACGCAGTAGGGCGTGTGGGAGGGGAACCTACCCTCAGAACCATATCGCCTCGCCATCTCAGCACTCAAAAGCACCCTTACTTGACGATCTTGGCGTTGTTGCCGCGCGGAAGAGCCCGGCAGTTCCCCAGAGGAATGAGCACGGAAGTTATGTACGGCCCAGCGGAGCAGTAGGGCGTGTGCGAGGGGAACTTGGCCGTAGCCTGGTCCGCCATGGCCATCGCCAGCACCTGGGGATTCTCCTGCTGCCGCGCCCTCTGCTGCTGGTGCCAATTCTGTATCATCTGCTGCTGCTGCTTCTCATCTAGCTCCAACCCCTCCTCTCCCTCCTGCGCCGCACCCTCTTCCCCCTCCCCCTCCTCTTGCTGTTGTTGCTTGAGAGTTTTGAGTGGTGCTTTCGCTGGTGTAGCAGAAAGTGGGGTCGCTTTCGTTGCTGTAGCAGATGCTGTGGTTACCGCGGCCGTTGTTACGAGACCAGAAGACTTCGTGGTGGTTTTAGGCTTGCTGTTGGTGCCTCTACTGCTGCTGCTGCTGCTGCTGCTGCCGCCCTTGTTGCTGATACTGTCGGGATTAGACGACGGGAATAGGTGGGAGGATTTCGGCTTGCTGGGTTTTGCGCTGGGTTTGCTAGGGGAAGCAGGCGGTGCTGTGGTAGGGGGGGAGGAAGGACGCTTTGGGGAGGCTGAAGGTTGTTTAGGGGAGGAAGGAGGTTGTTTCGGAAGGGTTGAGGGGGATGCAGAGGGGGGTTTGCGCGGAGGGGAAGATGGAGAGGAGGAAGGAGGAGGGGAAGGGAGAGAAGGAGGAGCGGAGGGAAGAGGAGGGGAGGGCTTTTGAGGCTTGCTCTGCCCCTTCCCTCCCGAACCACCAGGCCCTCCCGAACCACCAGGTCCCCCTGTCGAGCCTGCAGACCCACCTCCCGAGCCTGAAGATCCAGCTCCCGAGCCACCGGGACCTGACGTTTCAGACAGGAGAGTACCGGATCCCGGTGGGAGCGGGGGAGAGGTGGCAGAAGAGGAGGGAGGGGATGGCGGCGGTTGTAGGGTCGGTGGGGTGGGAGTGGGAGGAGTGGGAGGAGTGGGAGGAGTGGGAGGAGTGGGAGAAGGGGAGGGAGAAGGGGGAGGGTCGGAGGGGAGTTGGAGGAAGAAGGCATCGTAGTTGAACAGGGCCTGAAGGGGAGAGAGGGACGACAGGCACGGAGGGGGGAAAGGCAGGGAGGGACAAACGGTGAGGCGGTACGAAGAAGGGAGTCGAATGAGTGTTCTTGCTTCTCATTATGCTGTTGTGAGTTGCTGTGTCCTTTTTCGTCCAGTGTGTCCCCTCAATAGTGTGCAACGTCTATTTTTGAGGCACCTAAAAAGAGTATTCTGTTGTGAATTGCTGTGGTCTTCTCTCGTCCGCTGTGTCCCCTTCCCTGGTGTGGAAAGTGTTACAGTCATTGCCTTCTAGGCCGAAGAAGACTGCACCGTATTTGTTGCACCAGTCCCCGCACTGTTAACGGTGACGGCAATATCGCGTACCACAGGCTGCGTGGCGGTGCCATTCGGGGAAGGCTCCTCCTGAATGTCCACAGTGGCATTTACCACTGCCTGTTGGGGGGGAAGTGGGAGAGAGGGGGTGAGAGAGAGGAGGTAGGAGAGAGGGGGGGAAGGGTGTAAGAGGTAGTGGGGACGAGGGGGGGGAGGATGAGTGAGGGGGGTAGGAGAACACAGGAGAAAGAGGGGGGTTGAGGAGGAGAGGGAGGGAAGATGCATGAGGCTCTCGTGTGGGGAAGGTGGTGCGCGGGCAGGAATACAAGAGAAACGAAACTTCTTCTGAGGAGCCTAAAAAATCATGAGGGGTGGGTGGTACGCAGGCAGGACAGTGGGTCGGATTACGAGCGGCATGCAGTTTAGGGAGACGGCCGCACCTTGCCGGCCGGCAGGCCTGTGGCAACCGCGTCTTCGGGAATTGTTGGGGTTACCGTTACAATCATGCTGTCCACCCCACTACTCGAGCTGTTACTGTTACTCAGATTGTTGCTGGTCCCGTTGCTGCTGTTCCCGTTATTGGCAGTTCCGCTGCCTCCCTTATTGCTGATGCTATTGGTATTTCCGCTGCTGCTACTGCCAGCGGACGACTGAGTCTTATTGCCTCCCCCGTTATTATCTCCCCCGCTACTATTGCTAGAGTTGCCTGCTGCGTTGTTCTTCAGCCAGTCGCTATTACTAGTACCGGAGCTGCTGCTAACGGTGCTGTTATTGCTGCTATTGCTGCTAACGGTGCTGTTAATGCCGCTGCTACCCGTGTTGCTGCCGGCGCTGCTGCCACCGCTTATGGCACTACCGGTCGTCTTGGGAGTGATTTTAGCGAGCGACCTCCGCACCAAGCCACCTTCCGAACCGATCTGCTTCGGCTTCGCATCCGAAGCTGCCTCCGACCAATCAGAAGCGGCAATTGATGCTGCAACACTGTAACCTGCTTCTCGAGTCGCGTCGACATCACCACCACAACCATCATCACCAACAGCATCAGCAGCGGAACGAGCTTCCGAAGCAGCAGGAACAACCGCCACCATTATAGCAGCACTCGGATCGCTATCCAGCCCGCGATCGCGCTTCTGCTGCCGCACGGCCCATAGAGGGATTAGCGGCGTGAGCCGTCGTTGGCGATTAAATACGACCCCGACGCTCCAAGGCAGAAGTCTCCTTTCCCGCCGCGCCGTTTCCGCTGCTCCAGCTTCTTCCGGCGACGTTCTAGTATTGAAGGTCGCGGTTCTGATTGAGGGATCGGCTATCGTGACTGTAGCGGGTGCTACAATAACGGAGAGAAGAACCAGCGCCACTAAAACGGGGTGCCTCCTGCGGCCGTAGCGAGCCATCGCGAATAAGAGTGAAGCCATCTTGAGTGAACGGCCGACCAATTAGATAGTCTGTTAGTAGCACTCCAACGCGAGGAGATGGTATGATGTAAGAGTGAACTGGGATTGACACGGCTTTTAAAGGTGGCTTCAAGTCGTCGACTCAAGTACACCAGGAGCGAAGAGGGGCGAGCTGCGATCGGCAGGGCTTTCAGGGGTGCCACAGCGTGCCACGGCGTGTTACGGCGTGTCACGGCGCTTCTAGACCATCAATCGCCGCCGTTACTGCACGTTCGCGAATGCCGTTACAGGGGTGGAATGAGCATGTCGATCTTAAAGCCGCCTAAAGTGAAACCCAGGGAACCAGCGGGGGGACGCATCGGACGCAAAAATCGAGGATGGCGGGCTAAAGAGAAAAAGGAGGAGTTTAAGATTTCATCTAACAGACGTTTGGACGTCGTCGGCTCATATTGCTACGCTCGCGCCCTCTAACGCATGCCTGTCGCTCTAGCATGCCCTTCGTTCAAGCAAATATGCGGCAAATTTCCTGCCTAATGCACCCTCAAGCGTGCCTGTCGCTCTCCCTGTGCCTGGCTAGCGAAACGTTGCTAATCGGCTTGTGTCGCTCCGAAGCGATGATTATTTGCTGCGGCTCTACCCAAAGCTCGAGACGCCATGGCATGTCACAGCAGCAGGCTTACTGCGCAGCTAGCTAGCGCGCGGCATTGTGATCAGCAGCCTTGTCCCTTCGCTAGCATGTGGCGTTGCAATCAGCGTCACAGGTTCGTCTCTATGCATAACAATGCGGCCCATGTGAGCCTCGCGCGGGGTCAGCTGGCTGGCGAGGACAATAGACGCGTGCGGGGAAGGTCACTAGCCCACTAGGCGCTTGAGAACAAGTGCGGAGCAGAGGGGCAAACGCTATCCGAGAGGGTGCGGAGGACAGGTGGTCCGAGAGGGGAGAGGGGAGGACAGGAAGGGAAGTCGATAAACGCGGCATGGTAAATAGATTATCTTGAAGCCTAGGAGAGGATGGGATGCACGCCATTGCATGGGTCGAGGTCGAGGACTTGAGGTTGACGAGGGGGTTTGTCGTGCGACAGGGGCTGGGGGCTGTGACCCTGCAACGCGACGAGATAGGTGCAGCGGTTGGGTATTGGAGTGCTGCATGCGGGCGTGCATCGGGGAATGTGGCGTGTGCGAGAGGGGTTGACTGGTGGAGTTTGGGTTGGGTTTAAGATCTGGTTGGGGTGTTTGTGGTGGGGTGGTGGGGGTTGGGGAGTGGTTTGGTCGGGTTGGGGGAGTGGAGCGGAGGGGTGCTATTTCGCCCCGATGGGTCACAGGGACGTGAGTCGAGCTTCAGCGTTGCACTCCACGCAATGCGTGAAGAACCAGATGGTGGAGGGGGCTGGAGCGGGGGCGACATTTGGAGTCGCGTTACGTGCCCCTGTTCGCGGCGCCGCGAATGCTCAGGTTTGGGTAGAGCGTGTTTTCTGTGCGAAACAAATTCCGATTTCACTGGCCTTGTCTCCATCTAGTTCACATTCTTGTACTTTCCAGAGCATGATAGCTTCTGTTTAGATAAGCAGGAATTTTCTAGTTCCGAGTTCGGAACGAAAACGACAGTGGGTAGGTTTCATTAGTGAGTTTGTCCTCCTCAACTCGGACGATTCCACCTTAGCCGAGATTCGTGTTGGTTCGTGACGGCGCACCAATCAAACATTACCGAGAAGACAAGAAAGTGCCCAACCTTGTACAACAACAACACTTGTTATAACTGGAACGAGATAGGGTACTGTAGTGCAGAAGTTCATATCGAGAAACAACAATGAGTGATGAGGCAATGTAGGCGATGTGCAAGAACCCTGACCTATTCCTCGCCGTGTGATGAGAAGTCCGAGAAGGATACCGAAGGACCTCGAAGTGTCGATTTGAGTTAGGAAAATAACCTCGGAACGAAAAGGTCTGGGTCAGGGCATATGTTATCAGGGCACTTTTCCTGAATTGACTGAAATTCTAAGGTAGTTCGGGTACCAGCCCTGATTTTCTTTGGGTTCGTTTTCACCCATACATGACAAAATTAGGGAAGGTTTTAAAGTTACCCTGGAAATTCCGAGTATAGTTTTTTTCGACCTTGATTTTCCCACTACCTACACCCCCCCCCCTCCCCGGAGCCCCCCCCTAGAAAAGAGTTTCTCCTACACCCTAACACCCGTCACTCTTCCTAGGACCCGGCCACCAGGGTATTACTGTAGTTGGGAAGGAGTACTTCCAACACACCCCTAGAACACACATGACTCCGATGAGCCGCGGACCGTGGAACAACCTCAAGAAGAATCCTTGAAAATGTGCGCCCTCCGAGCATTTTTTCGGCTGGCTCTGAAAAAACAGAGCAGTTCAGATTCGGACCCTGAGTTTTCCGGGTGAAATTCGAAGCGAGCCCTGAGCGCCAGAGCTGTTCAAAAACCTTCCATAAGCCCTGGTCTGGGTCTGTAACAGAGGTTCGTGACTGTTCGAGTCGTACGCCTTGTAGCGAGCCCCAGTAAGGAGTCATCATAATTCATTCCAAAACTGCATCGGCGGGTTACAAGAATCTCCTGAACAGCACCTCACTCGTCCAAAACGATTTACCGGATTACCTAATACTCTCTCACACCTCACTCGTCCAAAACGATTGCGTGACGCAAAACCCTTGCGCATTTGCAGCAAGTATTGCATCAAACAATAAAGCAATATGATACATCAAGCATATGCTTGGAAGCAAAACATTTTGTATTTGCTAAGCGCAGTAAGGTACTGCTGATGTCATAGTAACAGGTCCACAAGTGGAGGCTTTCGCCGTGCCAGCCTGGCAAACGCGCAGTGTGACTGGGCCTTGGCGCACCTGCCCTTTGAAATTAGGAACTTGGAAGGTGTATTTTCTCTGGCAGCCAACATAGATAACATTGGATGATCCGCCGGAAGCAGAGGGCTCACCATATGACAGCTTGGCATACCGTGCCTTGTTTATCCTGACATGGATGAAAAGAATGTTGGGGAAGGGGGGTGGGGGAGGGGAGGCAAAGGTAAGCGAGCAAGCATGGGTGGTTTTCTTAACACACTTGCCTTGAACCTACTGAGCAAGGCAGTACAGATAGCCTTGTCCCTACAAGAGACAGATAGCCTCACAAGGCAGAGAAACGGAGACACATGTCTTCGCATTCTGATCACAAAATTATCGAGACACGAAGCACTAGAGAAATAGCAACGCGGAAAATAGGAGAGGAAGACAACAGCGAGACGAGTGAAGGGGAGCATCCTTACTTGACAACTTTAGAAGCACGAGTGGCCTTGACTTGACACTTGCCCAGGGGAATCAGTGCAGCGCTCACATACGGCCCCTCACTGCACTGCGGAGTGCCAGTTGGCAGGCCGCCATTGGTCCCCCCCCCTGTTGCTGCCGCCACAAACTTTGATGCTGTCACTGACGTGGCAGTTGAAGTGGCAGCGGCAGCAGCCCGGGCATCGGGACCCGTTAGGAACCATCGCGAGGGGGACAGGGGCCGGGGTATTTGCCGGACCTGTGCAGATGTTATGGCTCTGGCACTTGCTGACGTGGCAGCAGTGCTGTCAGAAACAGCTGCTGTGGCGAACAAGGACGATTGGGTTGATACTGATGATGGATCAGGAGAGGCGGAAGGCGAACCTAAGCCTGAACCTGAACTCGAACTTGAACCCGAACCAGTACTGCTGCTGCTGCTGCTGGTGTCGGTTGTGCCACCAGTGCTGCCAGTGCTGCCAGTGCTAGTGGTGCCTCCAGTGCTGGTGGTGCCGGTGCTGCCCATGCTGCCAGTGCTGTCAGTGCTGCCAAAGCTGGTGCTTCCAGTGCTGGTGGTGCCGGTGCTGCCCACGCTGCCAGTGCTGCCAGTGCTGTCAGTGCTGCCAAAGCTGGTGCTTCCAGTGCTGCTGATAATGCCGCCAGTGCCAGTGTTTCCAGTGCTGCCGGTGCTACCGATGCTGCCAGTTCCGTCAGTGCCCCCAGTAATGCTGGCACTGCTGGTGCTGCCAGTGCCGCCTGTCCCGGTGCTGCCAGTGCTGCTGGTGCCACCCGGGGTGGTGGTGCCGACAGTGGCACTGGTGTCGTTGGTGGTGTTGACTGGAAAAATGAGGATGTCATATGACACGGTGATCTGGGGGGTTACGGACAGGGAGGGGAGCAAGACCGATGAGCCCCTGGGGAAGGAAGACGAGCAAGGAATATGACACGGAGAGGTGAGGGGGGGCCAGATGACAGATAGGGACAAAAAGAGAAATGGGAGAGCGCCCACGGAAAAAGCGCCAATGGACGGTAAGGACAGTGAGTGAATCCCTACAGACAGTCCGTGAGGCCAGCACTGGCATTGACTGACGGCCGGCCAGCCAGCCAGCCAGCCAGCCAGCCTGTGCGGTGCTGTTCTGCGCTGTGCAGTGCTGAGCGGTGCTGTGCGCTCACCGTGAGGCCTGCAGCGCTGGTGGAAGCCGAGGAAGCCACGACGCCCAAGGATGCGTTCAACATGGCCTGGTGGGGGGAGGGGGGGAGATGAGGAGAAGATGGGGAGGGAGGGAGGGAAGGAGCGAGGAAGCAAGATAAGGAGGGGGAGCGAAGAGAGACGGAACGAGCCACGACGCCCAAGGATGCGTTCAACATGGCCTGGTGGGGGGGGAAGGGGGAGGAGATGGGGGGGAAGGGAGGGAGAGAAGGAGGGAGGTAAGGAGCGAGAGCACGGCGTGCAAAAAGGGTGACTTTTGACCCCCTTACGTGTGAAGGGTTACTTTCCACCCGGTCAACCGCTTCACACGTTCGCACTATCCCATCTCGTTCCTCATTCCCCGCTTCCTCCTCCTCTGTCGCTCCCTCCCTCCGTCCCTCCCTCCTTCCCTCCCTCCCTCCCTCATCGTCCCTCCCCCCCTCCCTCGCCTGCCCCGCAGGGAACCCCGGCGCCACAGCAATCTTCCCCACCTGCCCCGGCGCCTGCGCCTCCCCCCCTCATCCCCCCCTTCCCCACCACTCCCTCATCGCCCTCCCCCCCTGATTCCCCCTCTCCCCCGCGTCGTCCCTCCGCGCCTCTCTCACCTGCACCGTGGGGAATCCCAGCGCTACGGCATCCACTCCCTCACCCGCCCCCGCGCCTCCCTCCCTCCCTCATTCACCCTCCCCCTCCTGTCCACCTTCCCTCGCTCACCTGCCCCGTGGGGAACCCCAGCGCAACGGCATCCGGCGGAATCGGCGGGGTTGTCGTCGACTCGTACATGGCCGTCGTCGTCGTCGCACTGTCGCCCGCGCCTAGTCGCACAGCCTCCGTCGGCCCGCCGGACCCAATCCCCGGCACCCACGCGCCACCCGCGCTCCCCGCGCTTCCCGCGCTCCCCGTGCTCCCCCCGCCGATCTCCGCCACAACATCCGGCACGTATCCCGCCCACTTGCTGCGCGTGCACTCCCGGTCGTGGCACATCACGTGCGCGCGCCCGCCCTCCCACCACCGGTCCTCGCTCTCCATCTCCTCCGCCGGCGGCGGCGGCGGAGACGGCGCGGACGGCGGGGACGGCGTGGGGCGCGGGCTCCACGTGGAGTTCGAGTCGTAGTCGTTGCTGTCGCCATCGTCGTAGTTGTCGTCGCCGTACGGCCCGTCGTCGTCGCCGGCATCGTCGTTCCAGCCCTGCCGCCACTCCCGCCACCCTCGCCCCTTCCAACTCTTGCATTTCTTAGGGTTCGAATGCGCGTCGCAAGGGGAACCTTTTCCGCTATCTTTCCCTCCTCCCCCTCCTCTTCCTCCTCGCCCTCCTCCTCTGTCGAATTTCTTCTCTCCTTTGTCGCACGGCTTGGCTTTAGAAGCGGTGGTTGTAGTTTTGAACCCAACAGCCTTCGGGCCAGGCGTGGTCGCTGCTTTCGCGACAGGCTTGAGAATCAGTTTCGACGCAGCGGCTTTAGCGGCGGCGGCCGACAAGGCGGTTCTGGCGGCGGTTTTGAAGGCCGTAGCCGCTGAGCTAATCGACGGCTGCGATGTCGCGACCAAAACGCGGAGCAGATGTCGGCCGCTCATTGGTTCCGCCTCCTCCCGGATACCACGAGACCCCTGACCTGCACCACCAGACCCCTGACCGGCACCACCAGACCCCTGACCGGCACCATCAGACCCCTGACCGGCACCACCGGCACCACCTGCACCAACTGCACCACCTGCACCACCTGCAGCTGCTGACGTGTCATTCCAGAAGGCCAACAGATGTCCGAATCTATGTCCGAATCTGTGTCTGAATCTGGATAGCAACGATCTCGAGTCTCTCACGGACGCTCTGCTGTCGGGTAAGCTATCGGCGCGCACTAACGACCCGCATAATAGTAAACTTATCAGAAGAACTGTCAGAGAGGAGCTGCGACAGAAGTTTCGAAGGTCCATGGCCCCGCAGGACGTGGCTGCGGGGCGTACGGCTGTTTAAGGGACGCGACGCGAACCGCGAGATGAACGGCTACGATGAAACCCACGCCGACAACTGCATCCAGGACGCTGGAACCCTAAAATGCACGGCTACGGTTGCATCCTCAAACGCATCCTGCGTCTATCGCGAAAGAGAGGCTCCTGACGGAGGGAAGCGCAAAACGCGTGAGTCGAAGACCCTTCCTTGTATAAGTACGCCAGCCCAGAAACGCGTTGAAAGTTGAAATATATCGGACACGCGCCGAAAACGAGGACGGACAGATTTTTCCGTGTAGCAGAGAAAAGACAGGAAAATCCTACGTCTCTTTAAAAAAAAGACGAGTTTTAGCTCTGGTCAGTCACACGTATCAGCGGTTGCTTCAGGCGATTCCATGGATGCTTCCATGTCAACACGGAGGGAAGAACTAGGGCTGTTGCGCCTCACAGTAGCAACAGCGAGTGCAGTACGTACGACGGAGGTTGCTGTTGGTTAGCAACAGCAGTAGCAAGCAGCAGAGGGAAAAGGAGGGAACCATGGCACATGGATGGAATCGAGGCGGCTGCAAGGGAGGCGGAAAACGGAGGAGGTTTGCGCTGGTGAACGGCGGGAGGGTAAGGAGGCGGAAGCGGAAGTAATGAGGGAAAACGGATGTAGGGGAAAAGGGGGTGGGACGCGGAAGTTGAGCACAGGAGGGAGGTTGCACTGTCACCGGTGGCGCAACTCAGGTAGGGCTGATGGACGGGGGAGTAGGGTGGGTGGGATATGAACGGTTGAGATCTCGATGAGTGATTTTTCAACGGAGGGATATGCGACCTTGAGGTTAGTTTGTGGTGGGGGTCAGGTTGGCGCACTGGGCACGACAGCGAGCAAAAGCCAAGGCGCATGTCGACCAAGGTGTGGCAGTTCTGTTGCGCTTGCGGGCAGTGCGCTCGCCCATACACCGAACTCCCTGCCAAGCCCTCGCCCCACCTCCGCAGGATAAGTGCCATGCCGTCTCCTCCATCCTGCCCCTGCGCGCGCTAATCTGGCGCCGTTGGGCTGTTTGCTTGCCGAGTGCTCCAGCCAGAGCCCATGGGTGATGTCATGTCATCATGTGCCCTAAAGCTTCAGTTTATCGCCGCAGTAGGGAAAAGGGTAATGTACAGAATCCACGTCAACCACGTCAGCCGAGCTTTCGCAGTTACAGAAGCTGACATTCATTGTCGGGATTCCCTGACAGTCACAAGCTCGGTAGGAACAACCCTTTCTGGTCTGACATGACGAAAGGAAGGGGACACTCTCTTTCTATCCCACTAGGATCGTTGGTCCAACCCCGTTCCATCAGCCGTGCCGTGTGACTCCCATCTGTTAAGCAAGGGCTGGTTTCAAGTAGGGATGTCTCTTTCAAACACGCCTACAGTGGTCCAAGTAGGGCTGTCGGTTCCAAATACAGTACAGGGACACCCCTGTAGGTGGGGAGAGATAGGCTCGGGCTCATTAGGATCACGTGGGCATCGATTCAGCATCGATCCTCAAATGTACACCCAACAGACCGTACCGCCTCACTAACTGACGAAGGGTTACGTTTTTCGAAAACTTAACGAGAGCACCCGCGACGGCTCGCTTGTTAACGGAATTCGTAACCTTATTGGGCATCGGTCCCTGACCGATGCTACAGACCGATGCCATCCTCGGATTCCCTACAGATGCCCGCGAAAACACGCAAATGTGCCGCGCCCTACGAGCCCAAACTTATCGCTACCCGAAACCCTCGTTCCATCTGCCCGTGGCACAAGTTTGGGGAAGAGCAGTTCGGACAATCGCAAACGACAAACTTGTGTATGGGTTGAATTCTGGTGACCAAAAGCGCCACATCCTCCTACACCTCTGTCCAAATTTGTTTTCCTGCTTCGTTCGTGTACTTCCGCTGTACTTCAACCTAAGTAAACAAACAGTCAAAATAGGTAAAATCAAGAGCGCCAAAGCGAGTTGCAAAAGATGACGTATCCAAACAATAAATTTGTGACGTTATTTCCCTGTGCGATGCTTAGCCTTGACATGGCTTGCTAGTGACTCGGGCGACGTGAACCTCCTGCAAGACAAGGGACATCGATTTGGGACAAAAGAAGCTGCAATGCTCAAGCACGGAAGGCATACGGTATCGAATTCGGTATACAAAACGTCATCCATAAAGAACGACTGATCAAGGCCCAAATGATACGCAATAACAGGATATAGCTTTAGGAAACAAGTGATAGGGAGGTCTCACTTTGGACATGTGGTGCATGGGAAGGAGCCTGTTTTAGGAGTAGCAGGTGAGGTGTTTGGGACAGGGGTGGGTGACTTGTGCATTCCAGCAGCAGTTCATGTGCAGGCGGGAGGGGGGGAAGGAGGCAGAAAAGGGTGTAAGAATAGGTGTAAAGAGTAAGAAGAGAACGTGAAAGGTGTACAAATAGAAGGTGAAACGTGCACGAATAGAAGGTGAAAAGTGTATGAATAGAAGGTGAAAGATGTAGGAATACAAGGTGAACGGTGTACGAATAGAAAATGAAAGGTGCACGAATAGAAGGTGAAAGGTACAAATAGAAGGTGAAGGCTGTATGAATAGAAGGTGAAGGGTGTACGAATAGAAGGTGAAAGTGAAACAAATTGAAGCCTCCGGTTGTTAAGGAAATGCAGCAGAATCAAGCAAGGAAGAAACTTCCCAATACCTTTTGGGATGATGGAGGGGTTGCAACAACTGTTGCTGGAGTCTTCAGCTTGGCTGCGCGGAAATATGACCGAAAGAAAGGGAGGATGTGAAAATGAACGCAAAAAAAACGCCATGCACACACCAGAAGCCATCAGGAACTTCGGTTTGCGACAGCTCTGTCAGGATGCAGCAAACCTCGCTGATCAATTTTCTCTCACTCACTGTGCATTCACTTCCCCTTCTCCTCCCACATGTTCCTAACGGCAGCAGGGATGCCAGGCCGTTGTTTCTTCCTCCCCTGGGCTTTAGAGGAAGGAGGAGTAGCAATAGTAACTGCTATTCATCTTCATTCCCACTTCATTAGAATTGCACTACTTATCCAAAATTCTAGTTCATCCACTCCGCTCGAATGATCTGTATCATTCCCTGCCTCACAAAGCTACTGAATGCCCCTACTTCAAGTCCCCCCTCCCTCAACTGACCTGCTGTCTTAACAGCAGCGGGCGTGTCGGGGCGGTGTTTCTTCCGCTCTGTAGTCTTCTCGCCCTTGCCTTTGGAGGAGGGAGGAGTGGCGATGGTAACTGCTGCCCGCTTGCTGCCCGCCACAGGCTGATAGGGAAACGTGGGATGGTGGAGACGGGATATTATGGATTGGCTTAAGGCCCGCAGCCCAAATTGTTCATGCTTTAGAAACATGACGCACTTCAGAAAGATATTTTGGGAAATTGTCACGATTGATTTTGGCGAAACTGTCGCGAGTGTACCGAGTTTCGCTGAGTCAGCGATTCCCAGGGGCACTGGTTGGGTTGGGATGCTAAAGTCCCAAATTGAAATGACCCCACTTTTCAAGTTCCCACAGGCCAACCCACGCAAACCCCCCAGTCAAGTTTTCGCCCAATCAGATTCCTTCGCGTTGTGCGTAGCCCCAGTTTCGTGAAAAAACGCCTCAAAATCGCCAGATTTCAAGTTTCGAAAACTTGAACCACACGGCACGCAATTTGGGACTCCGGCTTTAAGATACACATGGATGCCAACACTAACCGCTACTGGCCGCTTGCTGCACACCACAGGCTGATAGGGAAACGTAGGAAGGGAGGAAACGCGATGTTATGAAATGATTTGAGTTACACATGGAGTACCTCTGCTATCCCCTGCTATCCGCTGCTGGTCACTTGCTGTCAGTCACAGGCTGACGGAGGAAAGCATAGGGCGAAGAAGGGAGGGCGAAGAGGGGAGGGCGAAGAGGGGAGGGCGAAGAGGGGAGGGCGAAGAGGGGAGGGCGAAGAGGGGAGGGCGAAGAGGGGAGGGCGAAGAGGGGAGGGCGAAGAGGGGAGGGCGAAGAGGGGAGGGCGAAGAGGGGAGGGCGAAGAGGGGAGGGCGAAGAGGGGAGGGCGAAGAGGGGAGGGCGAAGAGGGAGGGCGAAGAGGGGAGGGCGAAGAGGGGAGGGCGAAGAGGGGAGGGCGAAGAGGGAGGGCGAAGAGGGGAGGGCGAAGAGGGGAGGGCGAAGAGGGGAGGGCGAAGAGGGGAGGGCGAAGAGGGGAGGGCGAAGAGGGGAGGGCGAAGAGGGGAGGGCGAAGAGGGGAGGGCGAAGAGGGGATGGTGACTTGAATGGAGTGGGGATGGTGACTGCTGCTGCCAGTCACAGGCTGACGGAGGAAAGCAGAGGGCAAAGAAGGGAGAGCAAGGGAGATGATTTTTTAGTCGAATTAAAAGCCCTCTCTTTTGAGTCGGCTCAAAAGTCATCTTGCTTGCTCCCAGTCACTCGAATTTTCTTGGGACAACGAGCTAACCACATATCAAGCGTGGGAGCATTTGAGGTGTTGACACGCGAGTATGAATTTCGTAGTTTAGGGTCCCTGTTCTGTACGTGTACTGCTACAAATTATGGCATCTCTTGCTTTCAAGTTGACTCAAAAGCAGACTCGCAAATTTGCGATTTGGACTATGATGTCCCCGTACTGTGCGTGTGCTGCAACAAACTATGGTGTGCACACCTCACTTCTTTCTTCACACACTCACCTCTTTCTTTGGTGTTGCTTCTCTCCCATTCCCTGGCAAGGGGACTTTGCCCTCCTTTTTGGGAGTGGCTTCCTTGCCCTCCTTACTTGGCGTTTCTTTCTTTGATGGTCCTGGGGACTGCCCTGGCGTGCCCTTTCTTCCTGCTTTGATGCGGGCTGCAATGCGTGCAGGAATCAACAGCAGCGGGCATGGTGGGGGCATGGTGGGGGCATGGTGGGGGCATGGTGGGGGCATGGTGGGGGCATGGTGGGGGCATGGTGGGGGCATGGTGGGGGCATGGTGGGGGCATGGTGGGGGGATGATGGGAACAGAAAGCTGCAGACAAAAAGAATCTGCATCCTAATGCCACAACATGACGCCAAACACAACAAAACGATTCACTTCAAGGCAAAAGAAGAGCAATCGGTGTCTCTCTCACCTCGTTTCTCAACAGCAGCGGTCGCAGCTGCTGCCATTCCCTTGGATGATTTCTCGGCTGGCAATGGGCAGGCAGGAATAACACGAGAGGGAGAACTTGAACTCAGCCATGCCTCTTTAACTTTAGAAACGGCAGACACAGACATGCACGCAAGGAGTCACGTGGGCCATCAGACCCTAAATTCCTAGATGCCAAATTCCCTGTACAGCTAGAGCCCCACCTGCCGTTCCGCCACCTGCCATTGCACCACCTGCCATTCCGCCACCTGCCATTGCGCCACCTGCCATTGCGCCACCTGCCATTGCGCCACCTGCCATTGCGCCACCTGCCATTGCTCCACCTGCCATTGCTCCACCTGCCATTGCTCCACCTGCCATAGCTCCACCTGCCATTGCTCCACCTGCCATTGCTCCATCTGCCATTGCCTCACCTGCCATTGCCTCACCTGCCATTGCCTCACCTGCCACTGCGCCACCTACCATTGGCTCCACCTGCCATTGCTCCACCTGCCATTGCCTCACCTGCCATTGCCTCACCTGCCATGGCTGCTGCAGCTGCCTCTTCATCGTCACTTGCCTCCATCGCCTCCTCCCCCTCATCCTCCTCGTCCTCATCATCCTCATCGCTGTCCTCCTCTTCCTCATCGTCTTCGTCCTCATCTGGAACCCACGAAAACGAGCGTGCACGAAAAAAAGGGGGGTTCGAGGAAGCGACACGATTGTGACACTAACTCAGCCACGGGAGCCAGGACGTTCGGAGCACAGGAGAAATGTGCAACAAAATCTAGGAACGCAACAGTGTGGATTCACCGTGAATGACACAGCATTACAGCAATGGATAATGGACCGGAAGAGAGGAACTTTCCACACAATGGTTCAGCTGAACTCACCTTAGAAGGGCTCAAAACCGCCGAGTCATTCGAGTTGTATCACGAGAAAAAGAGAACGCGATGAGATGAGACAGCCCGATTCGAATGCGACAAACTCAACTGGCTGTGAAATATGCTCTTCAGGCGCCTTATGAGTTGGAGGTGGGGGAACGTACCATAGAATGGCTCAGCGCTGCCAGTGTCACTGGTCTTGTACCCGGAGAAGAACACGCTGTGGCTGCATGAGTGCGAGAGGCCGAACTGGCGGTCGAATATGTGGCCCATAGAGGGCAAGAGGGGGATTCGCGTACCATAGAATGGCTCAGCGCCGCCAGTGTCGCTGGTCTTGTACCCTAAGAAGAACACGCTGTGGTTGCCCAAATGCGAGAGAGGCTGAGCTGAACTGGCGGTCAAAGAAGTGGCCCATTGACCCCCAGAGGCCCAAGAGGGCCAAGAGGCCCAAGAGGCCAAGAGGCGGACGTACAATAAAAGGGCCCATCACCGCCAGAGTCGCTGGTCTTGTAGCCGGAGAAGAACACGCTGTGGCTGCCCGATTGGGACAGGCTGAACTGGCGGTCGAAGATGTGGTCCATGGCTGCGAAGTCCACCCGCCCCTTCACCAGCACGCCCAGCACCACCTCCGGCCCCACCGCAAACGACCTCCTTTTGCAATAAGGGTTGGGGTTGGGGCGCAGCACGTACCGTAGAAGGGCCCATCACCGCCCGAGTCACTCGTCTTGTACCCTGAGAAGAACACGCTGTGGCTGCCTGAGTGCGAGAGGCTGAACTGGCGGTCGAAGATGTGGTCCATGGCCGCGAAGTCCACCCGCCCCTTCACCAGCACGCCCAGCACGACCTCCGGCCCCACCGCAAACGACTTGCTCTTGTCTCCATCCTTCGCCTTCTTGCCATTCCCCTCGCCACCGTCACCACCATCATCGCTATCATCGCTATCGTCGCTATCCTCATCGTCATCATCATCACTGCTCTCTGGGAACTCCACCTGCCTGACCCTCAGCACCACCCGCTCGTGGTCCTTGGCTGACTCCCCCAGACTTGCCTGGAAGGAGGGGGGTGAAGTGAGGATCGTGAGCGGTATACTGGGATTGAGTAGGACTGTCATCGCCATTCTCAACACTCTCCTCGGACCTGTCTCAGCACCACCCGCCCGTGGTCCTTGGCCGACTCGCCCAGACTTGCCTGCAACAAGGGATTGATGAATGCGAGAGTTATCACCGGGAATGGGTATTATCACTGTCCATCGAAATCATCGTCACTATCCTCTGCGAACTCCACCTGTCTGGCCCTCAGCACCACCCGCTCGTGGTCCTGGGCCGGCTCGCCCAGACTGGCCTGGATGGGAGTGCGGGACAAACGTGACGGGGAGGGAGAGAGAGAGAGGGGGGGGGGGGGGAGGGGAGGGTAGATTGCAGTTTTGCGAAACCACGTTTGCTTATATCCATGAATGTTAGCCACGAGTAAACGGAGCGAGGAGGGAGGGGGAAACTCGTGCATATGTCAGCCTGATTCTGCTCTGCAGACACGGTTTTCTTGTAGGCGTTGGAAAAAGTCTGGACGTAGCACTGGCAGGTGGATGTGTGTAGGTTTACCTGGGAAAGGCGTATGTGATAGCAGGTGGGATGCAGGCTTACCTGGGACAGGTGTATGTAATCAAAATCATGTTCGGTCGGATCCACGACCACCGTCTCTCCCGCCTTCACCTCCACTCCTGCTCAGTCAAGAAAGTATATGAAGAAATCTCCTTTCCACACTCTCAATCAAATCAATTGGCGACGTACCCCAGAACGACATTTCTCGGCCGTTGGATCAGTCACAGGCGGCGAATTCTCCGCCGTCCGATCAAGTAGAAAGCTTTTTCTGGCCAGGTATTACGGAAAGCTTTAGATATTTCAATCTTCTTTGGGCGAAAGGGACTACAGGATTTCGGTTCGACTCCTCGGATTTCTTGAAGCGTAATAAACCCAGGGTCGTATGTCTGGCTACCTAGAGATGTCCAGCTGGCGACAATGGAGCAGAGAAGGTCTCTCTTGACGGTAAAACCTGGGGATTTTGATCCAGGAGAGATGGATGTATACAACAAAATGCAGATGGTTTGTGAAAAGCTGGATTCAGGAAAGACCTTGGGAACATGAGGGGGTGGCATCTGTCACCAGAGGGAGAAACCTTGGGAACCTCCGCGAAAGCGTTTCACGAATTCAGGGTTGGGGCGCATCCACCATCCTCATAAGTCCCAAAAGTATCGCGCACTGGAATGTACAGCTCCTGTGCGGACACATTGTCCTCGCTATAGACGAGCCTAATCTGAACACGTGCTGCAATCGGAACAATCCTGAGTTGAAACGAGGTGAATTCTCTTCAGAGTAACCTGGTAACCACCAGAATTTGGAGGAAACGGAACACCAAAAATGGGGCAATCAACATGCCTGCGTAATAGCGACGTCAATTCTCTGATCTGTGTTTCCATCCATGTTACCACGCATCTAGTCCACATGAGGGGAAAATTGCTGCCGCGGACTGTCCACGAAACTTTTCATACTTTCGTGGACAGGCCCTACTTTCATGGACACCACAGCGAACTTTCACATCTCCCGTGGACTCCGTCAATACTTTCGTGGACTCCAGGCTTACTTCCATGGACACACGCGAGTTTGAAACAAAAAAAACATACAGAACTGTACAGATGCTGACAGGAGAAAAAAAGCAGAATTAGGCGTAATCAAGTCCCTCGCAAATAGTCGCAAGCTACAGTATTTTCAAGCCACCAAGTCCGCTAGCTGTTTCGCGTGTTTATAGAAACTCTGAAGCGATCCTCAAAATTCATTTGAATGACTGTCACGAAGCGCTTTTCGTTGAACGATAAGTGTAGCAGACCGACCTGGTGAAATATCGCTACAAAAAAATCACGTTGTAGAATAAAGATAGATATTACGCTTACAAGATTAATAGAGCTCATTAAAAATCTCTGCCTACCAAGAATCAGGAATACCATGAATTCTGGCATTTACAAATATTTCAACTAGTACTTGGCTTGCATTTTCAACTAAGATGTGAAATCTCAGAATACCAATAACGTTTGGTGAACATGACTATATAAATGGAAGGTTTCAAGTCTTGATTGTATTATTATTAAAATTTCGGTGCATAGTAAAATAATAATAGATGAGAAAATGATTTAACTATTTTACATTCACGTTTTTGGGAATATTTTTTTTTTATGTTTGAACGAGAAACATACTAATGCAAATAAAAACAAGTGATTCTAAAAAATATATTTCTTAGGTGTTTTTTTTTCACAGAATTACTAATAATGAAATTATTTATTATGAAGGAGAAAACAACTGCTGGTTGATGCTGGCTCGTCAAGCACGTGCATATTATGTTTTGTTGGGTAGCTCTGAGTTGAATAATAAGTGTTTTTACCACGCGGACCCTAATACACCCTGTTTTTGAAAATTCACTGCATATTTGAGTGCGGCTGCAAACTCTTCCCAGAAAAGCTCCGAGATTCTGTTTCAGAACTGGTTTCCGACACTGTAGCTCGCGATTACTTGCGACGGACAGATATTCTGGAGTATCTCGATTTTTGTGCCCGTAATCACTTGTACATTGCTGAATACTCCTTTTTAACTGCGAATATGGGTGTGTCCATGGAAGTAAGCCGGGAGTCCACGAAAGTATTGACGGAGTCCACAGGAGAAGCAAAACTTCGATGTGGTGTCCATGAAAGTAGGGCTTGTCCACGAAAGTATGAAAAGTTTCGTGGACAGTCCGCGGCAGAAATTTTCCCCCACATGAGGCATGGCTGCGCGAAACTGGAAAGCCTTGCACTCGGTTGCAGGACGAGATTTCATCGCCTCCGTAGCACTTCTACTGTGAAGCAGACTGCGATTAGAGCCACTGCCTGCGCCGCGTAATTTCAGGGCATGCGCAAAGCCAGGGACCCAAGTTGACCAACTGTAAAACAATTGGTTGGGACTAAAACTACTGATTGGCCGGCGAGCTGTAGGCACCAGTGAAATCGCCTGCGACTGTTGCAATTCACACACCCTCACGACACAAAACCTGGCTTTTCCCAACCAACTGTAAAACACTTGCCCCAGGTTCTAGAAACTTGGGTCCCTGGCTGGGTATGTTGGCAAATAGAATCTGAGGAAGAAAATAGCTGGCAGCTTTGAGGGTCGCAGAATCAGGTCGTCTGATCCTGTCGTTACCTGGTTTTTACCAGGTCGTTACCTCGTTACTCTCTGGAAATGTTCTGGAGCAGCAGTGCGACGAAGGTCGCCTGTGGCTCTGCGACATGCGAGTCGCAGGGACCCGTCGCATGTCGCCCGCTCTCTACGGACGAAGAGCTCTGGTGTCGTGCGATGGAAATGGGAACCGGGCTAGGCGTCGTCGGTCTACAGTTTTCCGGGCAGATTTCTATCGATCAGGTCCAGCAAGCAGCGAAAGAGATTGGGTCGAAACTTCCTCTGCTGCTTGCCCGAGTTGTCGGGCAGGGTAAAATCGGCGGTCCCCTCCATCTCCACTTGTGCCGGGATCCGAAACCTATTACTGTAGCTGCCCGGAGCATGGATGACGTGGCAGCTTGGGAGGCTGCCGCGCCATTGGACAACGAGCAGCGCAGCGTCGTGGACGGGATAGAATCTGACGTGGCAGAGAAGGAGCAAGGGAGTGAAACAGAGGGGGGATTGGCAGCACCAGACAGTGGTCGTGGTGAGGGGGAGGGTTCCACGTCAGCATCGGAACCAGGAGCTGAGGTTTCCACGTCAGCAACAGAACCAGGAGCTAAGGTTTCCACGTCAGCAACAGAATCAGGAGCTGAAAGATTATCTGTGGTGCCTGAAGTGACAAATGGCGGTGAAGAAGAGGAGGACGAGGAGGACGCGTTTGAGGATGCGGAGGAAGGTGCTGACGATGATGATGCTGGTGATGACGATAATGATGGTGGTGAATTCCAGGATAGTAGCTCCACAAGTGAAGCTGTTACTAAAGCGGATGATCTTCACAGGATAGTGGAGATGGAGTTAAACCAGCCAATCACAGCAGCGCATGGAGAAGCGCCAGCAGACGCCTTGCAGGTAGTAGGGGTGTGCTATAACTACCTGCAGGTAATTAGGGTAGTTAGGGCAGCCGCATTTCATCCCCAACACACAACCTGCCTTGCCCTCCCCCACTCAACCTACCTTGCTCTCCCCCACACAACCTACCTTGCTCTCCCCCACACAACCTGCCTTGCTCTCCCCCACACAACCTACCTTGCTCTCCCCCACACAACCTGCCTTGCTCTCCCCCACACAACCTGCCTTGCTCTCCCCCACACAACCTACCTTGCTCTCCCCCACACAACCTGCCTTGCTCTCCCCCACACAACCTGCCTTGCCCTCCCCCACTCAACCTACCTTGCTCTCCCCCACACAACCTACCTTGCTCTCCCCCACACAACCTGCCTTGCTCTCCCCCACACAACCTGCCTTGCTCTCCCCCACACAACCTACCTTGCTCTCCCCCACACAACCTGCCTTGCTCTCCCCCACACAACCTGCCTTGCTCTCCCCCACTTCACCTACCATCAAGCCTTCATCCTTCCACCTCCCTTCCCCCGTCCACCTCTTCCATCCTTCTTCCCGTCAGCCGCACGTCTACCCTCCCCCCCACCAACCTTCCCGGCTCTGCGTTGCGAGGTGACTTTTGAGTCGACTCAAACGTCTCCTTCCAGTCAGCCGCACGCCTACCCTCCCCTCCACCAGCCTGCCTGGCTCTGCGCTGCCATCGATCTTTGACACTTCTTTGAGGCTTAAAGCCGTTACGAATTCTCAAGAATGGCTCCAGTGAAACCTGTCTCTCCGCGGCCTTCGATCCTTGGCACTTCTTTGAGACTTAAAGCCGTTTTCTCAAGAATAACTCCAGTGTAACCTGTCTCTGCGCTGCCATCAATCCTTGACACTTCTCGCACTCCCCTCCCCTGCCGTCACTGCCCTTCTATCTTCCTATCCCCCCTCTCAGATCCACTTGTACCACCTCCGCCTCTCCACCTGCCTCGCTCTGGCTGCCATAAGGCTTTGAGAATGCTCACCGTCCCCTCCTCCCCTCCTCCCCTCCTCCCCTCCTCCCCTCCTCCCCTCCTCCCCTCCTCCCCTCCTCCCCTCCTCCCCTCCTCCCCTCCTCCCCTCCTCCCCTCCTCCCCTCCTTCCCTCCCTCCCTGCCTTCCGTGGCTCTTTGCCATCCTCCCTCCCGTCTCAGACCCACGTGTACCACCTCCCTCTCTCCGCCCGCCTTGCTCTGCGCTGCCATGGGGCCTTGAGGAAGCTCACATCCCTCCCTCCCTCCTTCCCATCCTCCTCCCCTCTCAGATCCACGTGTACCACCTCCCCATCGCCACCTGCGTGGCTCTGCACTGCCTCGGTGCTTTGACACGCCTGACAGCCCCATCTTGTCTTCCCCGCCTCCATCCCTTCCCTCCCCCCCCCTTCTCTCAGATCCACGTGTACCACCTCCCCCTCTCCACCTGCCTGGCTCTGCGCTGCCATCGAGCCATTGTGGACCGGCCAGCCGTGCGCGTGCTGGCCACTGCCCTTGTGTCTGCCCTGCACCACGTGCAGTCTGCTGTTGCTGCTGCGGCTGCTGCTGCTGCGGCTGCTGCTGGCGATGGTGGAAATGGACCACCAAGGTGCGTCTCTCAGCTGCCATCGAGCCGTGGTGGACCGGCCAGCCGTGCGCATGCTGGCCATCGCCATTGTGTCCACAGCTAGTCCCAAGGCTAGTCCACCTGCACACGCTGCTGACGCTGAACTGCCTAAGTATGTCACCCCTCTGTGGTGGATTGACCAGCCTTGCGCCTACTGTCTGCACCCCGTGCTGCTGCTGCAACCCCTGCTGCTGCTCCTGCTGCTTCCCTCCCTTTTCTCTTCAGTTTCCCGACTCCCAACGCCCCCACTGCTTGCTCCTTTCTTTCCAAGAGCCACACCAATGCCTGTCTGTCACTTCCCTCTCGACCCTCTCTCTCCTCCCCCCCTCCCTCCCCCCCCACCCCCCCCTTTTCCTCTCGTCCCGCCTGACCCTCCGTTGCTCCTTGCTAGCATCCTGTTGGTTGCTGAGGAAAGGAGTCAGTTTCGCTCCCTCCAGGTTGCAGAGGAAAGGAGTCAGTTTGCCTCCCTCCTCCCCATGGCCCTCGTCCCTTTCTTGCAGATTAGAGGAGCCCGTTTCCCTCGTGTGTAATGAGTCGATTTTTTAGTCGACTCAAAAATCGACTCATTACAGCCCGATTCCCTCCCTCCTCCTCCTCCTCCCCTCTCTTCCTCAAGCCTCTCCACTCTTTCTCCGTCCTCTCCAACGGATAGAAGTTTAGTTTTGAGACGTCTCCTTCAGAACTCGCTCCTACCTGGCCAAGGGTCTCTCACAAGCGTACGATGCTCCGGCCAATGTGTGCAATGACCCCCGGGGCGGGCCCATACCCTTCCTTGGTAACCTCTCCCCAGGAACTCCTGTCTCCTCTCACCTCCTCCCTGCTGCCCGCATTCCCCTCGCCCCTTTCTCGCAGACTAGAGGAGTCCGCTTCCCTCCCTCCTCCGCTCTCCTCCCTCATCCCCAAGCCATCTGAATCCCTCTCCTACCTGGCAAAGGGCCTCTCCCAAGCGTACGACGCTATGGCATATGTGCGCAACGCCATGGCGTCCTCCCACCCGCCTTTCCAGCCCGGCCGGGCCGACTGCAGGAAGAACCAGTTCCGCTCCTCCTTCTCCTGCCTGCGGTTTGACAAGCAAGGTAAGCGACAAGCAAGGTAAGCGACAAGAAAGGTCAGCACTCTGCCTCGTAGGCCCCCTACTCCCTCCCTCCCACTTGGTCGCGCTCTGCCTGCCCCCTTTCACCATCATTCCTTTGCGTGTTTCCATGTGCTCAAATTTCCTCCCTCACTTCCCATGCCTGATCCTTCTATCCCTCTGCCCTCTCTTCTATCCCTCTGCCCTCTCGTCTATCTCTCTGCCCTCTCTTCTATCCCTCTGCCCTCTCTTCTATCCCTCTGCCCTCTCGTCTATCCCTCTGCCCTCTCGTCTATCCCTCTGCCCTCTCTTCTATCCCTCTGCCCTCTCATCTATCCCTCTGCCCTCTCGTCTATCTCTCTGCCCTCTCTTCTATCCCTCTGCCCTCTCTTCTATCCCTCTGCCCTCTCTTCTATCCCTCTGCCCTCTCATCTATCCCTCTGCCCTCTCGTCTATCTCTCTGCCCTCTCTTCTATCTCTCTGCCCTCTCTTCTATCCCTCTGCCCTCTCTTCTATCCCTCTGCCCTCTCTTCTATCCCTCTGCCCTCTCTTCTATCCCTCTGCCCTCTCTTCTATCCCTCTGCCCTCTCATCTATCCCTCTGCCCTCTCGTCTATCTCTCTGCCCTCTCTTCTATCTCTCTGCCCTCTCTTCTATCCCTCTGCCCTCTCTTCTATCCCTCTGCCCTCTCTTCTATCCCTCTGCCCTCTCATCTATCCCTCTGCCCTCTCGTCTATCTCTCTGCCCTCTCTTCTATCCCTCTGCCCTCTCTTCTATCCCTCTGCCCTCTCTTCTATCCCTCTGCCCTCTCATCTATCCCTCTGCCCTCTCGTCTATCTCTCTGCCCTCTCTTCTATCCCTCTGCCCTCTCTTCTATCCCTCTGCCCTCTCTTCTATCCCTCTGCCCTCTCTTCTATCCCTCTGCCCTCTCTTCTATCCCTCTGCCCTCTCGTCTATCTCTCTGCCCTCTCTTCTATCCCTCTGCCCTCTCGTCTATCTCTCTGCCCTCTCTTCTATCCCTCTGCCCTCTCTTCTATCCCTCTGCCCTCTCTTCTATCCCTCTGCCCTCTCTTCTATCCCTCTGCCCTCTCGTCTATCTCTCTGCCCTCTCTTCTATCCCTCTGCCCTCTCGTCTATCTCTCTGCCCTCTCTTCTATCTCTCTGCCCTCTCTTCTATCCCTCTGCCCTCTCTTCTATCCCTCTGCCCTCTCTTCTATCCCTCTGCCCTCTCATCTATCCCTCTGCCCTCTCGTCTATCTCTCTGCCCTCTCTTCTATCCCTCTGCCCTCTCTTCTATCCCTCTGCCCTCTCTTCTATCCCTCTGCCCTCTCATCTATCCCTCTGCCCTCTCGTCTATCTCTCTGCCCTCTCTTCTATCCCTCTGCCCTCTCTTCTATCCCTCTGCCCTCTCTTCTATCCCTCTGCCCTCTCTTCTATCCCTCTGCCCTCTCTTCTATCCCTCTGCCCTCTCGTCTATCTCTCTGCCCTCTCTTCTATCCCTCTGCCCTCTCGTCTATCTCTCTGCCCTCTCTTCTATCCCTCTGCCCTCTCTTCTATCCCTCTGCCCTCTCTTCTATCCCTCTGCCCTCTCTTCTATCCCTCTGCCCTCTCGTCTATCTCTCTGCCCTCTCTTCTATCCCTCTGCCCTCTCGTCTATCTCTCTGCCCTCTCTTCTATCTCTCTGCCCTCTCTTCTATCCCTCTGCCCTCTCTTCTATCCCTCTGCCCTCTCTTCTATCCCTCTGCCCTCTCATCTATCCCTCTGCCCTCTCGTCTATCTCTCTGCCCTCTCTTCTATCCCTCTGCCCTCTCTTCTATCCCTCTGCCCTCTCTTCTATCCCTCTGCCCTCTCATCTATCCCTCTGCCCTCTCGTCTATCTCTCTGCCCTCTCTTCTATCCCTCTGCCCTCTCTTCTATCCCTCTGCCCTCTCTTCTATCCCTCTGCCCTCTCTTCTATCCCTCTGCCCTCTCTTCTATCCCTCTGCCCTCTCGTCTATCTCTCTGCCCTCTCTTCTATCCCTCTGCCCTCTCGTCTATCTCTCTGCCCTCTCTTCTATCCCTCTGCCCTCTCTTCTATCCCTCTGCCCTCTCTTCTATCCCTCTGCCCTCTCTTCTATCCCTCTGCCCTCTCGTCTATCTCTCTGCCCTCTCTTCTATCCCTCTGCCCTCTCGTCTATCTCTCTGCCCGCTCTTCTATCCCTCTTCCACCCAGCAGAAACAGCCAGCCTTCTTCCTCACCTCTCAACCCTGCTGGCTCAAGCCAGCCAGCCTGCTCAAGTGTGCGGCAGCTTTACAGATGACTTTTGAGTCGACTCAAAATCCATATCCTCGCATCCCAATCCTGCTCGCACTTCAGCCTCGAGTGCGCCACGGCTTAAGGCAGTCTGAATCTCTGCCCCTCTCGGCTCTGCCTTTTCCCTTCCACCCGACAGAGACAGCGCGTGCACATAGGGACATGGGGACATGGGGCATTCTGAATCTCTGCCCCTCTGTGCTCTGCCTCCCCCCTTCCATCCAACAGAGACAGAGGGCCTCCTCTCCTCCCTCGCCTCTCAATCCTGCTCGCTCTTCAGCCTCGAGTGCGCTGCGGCGCTCAAGGCGGTGGCGGATGTGAAGCAGCTGGGCAGCAGGACGCAGACGTTCAATGTCACCAGGTGGGCAAGACTTGTTTCTCCCTTGAGTGTGCTGTGGCTCCCAAGGCCGTGGCTTTCAAGGCAGCACCTCTCAAGGCGGTGGCGGATGTGAAGCAGCTGGGCAGCAGGACACAGACATTCAACGTCACCAGGTGCACATGCACATGCACATGCACATGCATGCATGCGTGGCTGGATGCTCCCTGCAGAGTGTGCTGCAGCTCTCAAGGCTGCAGTGGATTTGAAGCGGCTAGCAGGTGGACATAGACGTTCAATGTCACCAGGGGCCTGCCTGCATCTTGCCTGCATCTTGCCTGCATCTTGCCTGCATCTTGCCTGCATCTTGCCTGCATCTTGCCTGCATCTTGCCTGCATCTTGCCTGCATCTTGCCTGCGTCTTGCCTGCGTCTTGCCTGCGTCTTGCCTGCATCTTGCCTGCATCTTGCCTGCATCTTGCCTGCATCTTGCCTGCATCTTGTCTGCGTCTTGCCTGCATCTTGCCTGCATCTTGCCTGCATCTTGCCTGCATCTTGCCTGCGTCTTGCCTGCGTCTTGCCTGCGTCTTGCCTGCATCTTGCCTGCATCTTGCCTGCATCTTGCCTGCATCTTGCCTGCATCTTGTCTGCGTCTTGCCTGCATCTTGCCTGCATCTTGCCTGCATCTTGCCTGCATCTTGCCTGCATCTTGCCTGCGTCTTGCCTTGTTTCACATGCTCGTAAACCATGGGGGAGGTTCACCTCGGGCTGCCGCTGAAGCAGCCAGCCAACCAATGTCACTAATGTTTATCCTCTCTTCTGATATGTCATGTTTATCCTCTCTTCCCCTTCTCCTCCGCCCCCCCCCTCCCCTCTCTCTCGCAGCATCATGAACTGCAGATCACTCTTGGACCCACCTTTACCACCAGACGCCATGGGGGTGTTCACCTCGGGATTGCCGCTCAAGCAGCCGGTCAATCAGGACCTGCCGCTATGGGATGTGGCTCGCACTGTGGATGCTGACCTGGCAGCTGCTGTTGGGCAGAAGAAACATTTCACCGACATGCCCGTGCTGGAGCTTCTCTTTTCGACTGTACGTATTAACATGTTTTTCCACCTGGTTAACTGTTTAAAGCCCGCGGCTAAAATAGCAGACCTGGAAGCCACTTGAATTTGGTGCTTTGAAATCCGTCTCAGGGTAAAAAGGAAGGCAGCTTTGAGTTCAAGCCTGAAATGACTTTTGAGTCGACTTAAAAGGAAGGCAGCTTTGAGTTCAAGCCTGAAATGACTTTTGAGTCGACTTAAAAGGAAGGCAGCTTTGAGTTCAAGCCTGAAATGACTTTTGAGTCGACTTAAAAGGAAGGCAGCTTTGAGTTCAAGCCTGAAATGACTTTTGAGTCGACTTAAAAGGAAGGCAGCTTTGAGTTCAAGCCTGAAATGACTTTTGAGTCGACTTAAAAGGAAGGCAGCTTTGAGTTCAAGCCTGAAATGACTTTCGAGTCGACTTAAAAGGAAGGCAGCTTTGAGTTCAAGCCTGAAATGACTTTTGAGTCGACTTAAAGGAAGGCAGCTTTGAGTTCAAGCCTGAAATGACTTTTGAGTCGACTTAAAAGGAAGGCAGCTTTGATTTCAAGCCTGAAATGACTTTTGAGTCGACTTAAAAGGAAGGCAGCTTTGAGTTCAAGCCTGAAATGACTTTTGAGTCGACTTAAAAGGAAGGCAGCTTTGAGTTCAAGCCTGAACAAGAGAAGTGCGTCGAAACGAATTCTAGTCGAGCTTGCTGATTGGAGGAATGGCGAAAGATCTCGTTTTGCTGTTTGTTGCGACTCGATCATTTCGATGCGATTTGCACAAAAACATAGTGTGCATCGCACGGAGTTTCTACGACGGGTTTGGGCGAGAAGCTTGCGACGAGGAAATATAGGCGCGTTATGACCAGGGAATTCAAGTGATTTCCAGGTCTGCAATTCCAGAATCAGCTACTGTTCGCCAAAAAACACTGTTATTTTCGCATCTGCACTGTTCACGGAACCCCGAATTCGGTCGCACGACACTGTTCACTGAATGATTTCGTGCAAAAGTGTCGCCAAACCGCCACGATCAGATTCCGCTTTGCAAAACGGAATGTTTTTATTCTGTTTCGTTTACTCTAAAAATCAAGTCATGTGCCAAGTTCAAGAGAAAATTTTAACAGCCCTCTTCATTGCTATTTTAGCCACGGGCTTTAAAGTCCCATTAATCCTTATTTTCTTACGCATTCTGGTTTCTCTTCTTTTTGTGCCTCTCCACATACACGCGTAGTTTTTTCGATCCAACTCAACTTATCATATCGATCCTCGTTGTCGCGTTGTCAATGCCATGCCTTTCTCCTCAACTTACACACGCCGTTGTCTCCTTAACACAACCTCTTTTCTGTGTCGAAATGCTTGTGCCACGAAGTGAGATCCAGTCGTCTTCTCTATTTCCCCTACTTGTCCTTTTGAGTCGACTCAAAAGTTATTGCCCCTACTTGTCCTGAACACACAACCTCTTTTCTATTTCTATATGGCCATGAACACACCAACGTTTTCCCCCGAGTGTTTCCCTCCTCACTTCCTTCTTGTCAGCCGTCACCGCCTGGTCCTTCCACACTCCTCCCCTCTTCCCTCCCCAATCCCCACCCTTTCACTTCTTTTCTTTTTCCCAGGCCCTTCCACACTCCCTCTCCCCCCCCTCCCATCTCTCTTACTTTCATCCCCAGGCCATGAAGACTCCAACGTTTTCCCCCGAGTGTCCTCGCCGCACGTCCTTCATGTCTGCGATAACCGAGTCGGCCTTCCACACTCCCTCCCCCCCCCCGCCTCGCACCTCTTTTACCCTCACCCCCAGGCCAAGAAAACGCCAACGTTTTCCCCCGAGTGCTCGCGCCTCACGTCCTTTCTCTTCAGCGGTCACAGAGTCGCCCTCCCACACTCCCTCTCCCCCCCCTTCCCATCTCTCTTACTCTCATCCCCAGGCCATGAAGACTCCAACGTTTTCCCCAGAGTGTTCGCGCCGCACGTCCTTCATGTCTGCCATCACCGAGTCGCCCTTCCCCATGGACTGGCCATGCGACGGGGGGGTTGCACCTGGGACTATCGGTGGAGGCAGGGGGTTGGAGACACGACTGGAGGGGTTTATGGGGCCTATCTTTGCAACGCACGGTGTCGGCCCCAGCATATCCATTGCAGATGCTCTTCATGTGAGTTTTCTTTCTTACGACCTATAGGTCCTTTGCCTTTTTTTTATAAGCATGGGGTCGGTCCAAGCATATCCATTGCAGATGCTCTTCATGTGAGTGTCCACGATGCATGCTTCACGTCATACTGTAAGCCCTCGGGTATATGAGCTGCCAACTATTTTGACCTACAGGTATTTTGTCCTGGAGTGGCATCTGCTACCAGTAATCAATTATAGCCCCCCGCCCCCGCCCTGCTTTGCCAAAAGGTATCCCTATAGGTCCCCCCCCTTTTTTTTTGGAATCTCTGCAACCATAACAAGAAGGGCCCGCATGCCATGGCGAGATCCTCTGCGATAAAATTTGTAAAAACAGTCCTTTTTCTGTAAAATCCATTTGTTGAAACGCCCATGGGGCAAATTACTCCATCTGATTTAACGTCCCCGCCCAATTTCAGTGGTTCCCTAAAGGCTCGTGGTTGGCGCGTAAGTACATCTTCATTATGGTTATGTAGCTTTAGTTGCGTCTCATCCATCCATCCCCCATTATCAACTGCTTCTGATGTTTCAGGATGGGGATCTTCAGATCTACATCAACTTTGTGTCACCTCTGTTTTCGCAACAATTCATGGCCAGTTTCATACGACTGTTCGAACACTATTTTAGGGAGGCCATGTGCTAGTAAGTAGCAAGATAAATGTATATTTTTTGGAATTTTCTGTTAGCAGGAAAAGTTGTGACTAAGGGAAAATGTCGAGGGATACAAAACTAGGGCTGTACTCGCTAAGAACTAGACTAGCTAGGCTATAAACAATATGACCTAGCTAATCTATATAGATATATTTGTTGACACATCCCCTAGCCTAGATAGTGGCAGTTCATAATAAGGCAGAGTACACCAAGGCAGCACTACTAGTCTGACCTCTGGTGAAGGCAACAAGGCAACTCAAGGCAGCACTACTAGTCTGTGTTCAAATTATATAAGTTATAATTTAATATAGGCTTGGTAGGTTGTTACTGAACCTTTCTGTAGGGGGTACAAACCCCTCCTTGTACTCCCCTCTCTTCTAATCCAACCCTCTTTTCTCTCCTCAACTTTCCTAGCACCTAAAACCTCTCGCCATTCTCATGGCTCCTCCTAGCTCCTAGCTAAACCTTGTGCCATTCTATGGCTTCCTAGCTAAGCTAGTCTTTTGACATGGTATCAGAGCAGTTCGTTCCGTGTGGGCCTGCTCCTCGCGTTTCCGCTGCGTGCTCGTTTCTCTCTCTATCTCGCGCTGCCATGGCGGCCGCGTCAAGCTGCTGTGGCCGCGTCGTCGTGCCGCGGCGCCGCCGTCGACGTCCATGGCGCCCGCGTCCAGCTGCTGTGGCCGCGTCGTCGTGCCGCAGCTCCGTCGTCGCGTCAAGATGCTGTCGCGACGTGACGGCGCCGTCACGCTGCCGCGGCGTCTACGCGACAGCGCGCGGTCGGCGTAACGGCGACGTCGTGCTGCCGTCGCAACGTCGACGCCCCGCTGCGGCATCGACGCCGCTCCATGACGGCGTCGTCCGGCTGCAGCCGGCCGCGTGACGCTTGTGGCGCCGCTAGACCGGCCGCCCGCATGTCAGCCTGTGGCGCCCCCCCCCCCCCCACCCCCCTCCTTCCCCTGTGCCCTCTTCCATTCCGCAGACGACGGCTGACTCCCGCCGGCCGTCCCACCGTCGCGGGGCCTGGCCACGTCACCGAGAGGTGCGGGTGCCGCCGCCGCTGCCGCTGTTGTCGAAGCCGCCGCCGCCGCCGCTGTCGCCGCTTGCGTCGGGGCCACGCAGCCGCACGCCGCCGCCGCCGCCGCTGTCGACACTGCCGCCGCTGCTGCCGTCGCCGCCGCAGCCCCTGCGGTCGACGTCGCCGCCTCACGCACCGTGGGTCGACCGACCTAGAGTCGCTGTCACTGTGGCTGGAATGGGGGTGCTAGGTTAGGGGGTGTGGGTGTGTGTGGGCATGTGACTACCAAGCCTAGGGGGTGTGTTCAAATTATATAAGTTATAATTTAATATAGGCTTGGTAGGTTGTTACTGAACCTTTCTGTAGGGGGTACAAACCCCTCCTTGTACTCCCCTCTCTTCTAATCCAACCCTCTTTTCTCTCCTCAACTTTCCTAGCACCTAAAACCTCTCGCCATTCTCATGGCTCCTCCTAGCTCCTAGCTAAACCGTGTGCCATTCTATGGCTTCCTAGCTAAGCTAGTCTTTTGACAGTCTGACCACTGAGACAAGAGGCCACAAGGCCAGTCAGCAAGTATAGCAAGACAAGCAGGTATAGAACAAGTACAAGCAGGTATAGTATGACTCAGGATACAAGGAGTGGTGCTGCTACGGAGACGAGACCAAGCTGAGTACAAAACCGCTGATGGTCATGAGGCGCAAGTTGTCAAATTATATATTTATAAATTTTATTTGTGTAGGCTTGGTAGATGTGTTACATTATTGGATCATACTGTAGAGGGGACAACCCCCCCTTCTTGTATCTCTTCCTCTTCTAGTCCAAACACTCTTTTCTCTCGTAACTCTTCCCCCCTAGCTAAACCTCTCGACATTCTCCTATGCCTAGTTAGCTCCTTTCAACATGGTTTCAGAGCAGGCCCGTCCGCTCGGGCTTTCTCCTCATGCTTCCGCAGCGTCCTCTCCTCCCTCCTGTCACTTCCGAGCCGCCGTGGCAGCCATGTCGTGCTGCCATGGCGGCTTCGTCGTGCTGCTGTGGCAGCCTCGACCCGCTGCCATGGCATCGACGCCACGCCATGGCGGCGTCGTCGAAGCGCCAGCGCACGGACGGCAGCGGCTAGCGCCCGGTTTTAGCACCGTCCAACTCGCCCACACGCCAGTAAGCGCCGCGCCAGCAATGTCGCCTCGCTGAAAATTTGCCCCCCCCCCCCCCCCCTTCCCCTCCTCTGCCTTTCCCCTCCTCCCCGCCGCAGCTGCTGATGGTCGCGTGCTGTCCTACCCCTCGTTGACGCAGTGTGAGCCACGCCGCCGGGTGCCTCGGGCGCCGTCTCCGCTGCCGCTGTAGGTGCTGCAGGCCCTGCTGCCACCGCCGCCGTAGTCGTCGATGCCGCCGCCGCCACTGCGACCCGCCGTCGACGTCGACGCCACAGCTGCTGCAGGGCATGGGGGTGCGAGGATGTGGGGGTGTTGCGTGTGGGGTGGGCTTGCCACTACCAAGACTAGGGAGTGTGTCAAATTATATATTTACATAATTTATTTGTGTAGGCTTGGTAGATGTGCTACATTACTGGATCCTAGTGTAGAGGGGACAACCCCCCCTTCTTGTATCTCTTCCTCTTCAAGACCAAACACTCTTTTCCCTCATAACTCCTCCCCCCTAGCTAGACCTCTCGACATTCTCCTATGCCTAGTCAGCTCCTTTCAACACAAGTGCCTTGGTGAATACTGTATATCAGCCGTGTTGGCCTCTGAGGCCAACTGTACCACTCGAGCCTGGCCGCGCTGCTGCAACCCACGCAGCAAGAAGTACTGCAGCTGGATGTGCTTCGTCCTGCCCTCAAGTTGAGCCTCCTGACACAGGAGGATCATGGCCATGTTGTCAGCAAACAGGACCGAGGCAGACCTAGGCTGCTCACCTAAGTCAGTGAGCAAGAACGTCAGCCAGCCATGGCTCCTGAGCAGCCATGGCTACACAACTGGACTGAGCAACAAACGACGACCTGGTAGACCTCCACGAGACTGCACCAGCACCAAGACTAAAACAGTAGCCGTGAGACGACCTGAGCGTCTCCACGACGTCAGCCCACGACGCGTCTGTGTGTCCAGTGAGCACCACTGGCTCCTGTCCTCCTAGCACAAGCCCTAGTCCTGATGTACTTGCCAGATACCGCAGTACCCTCTTGGCAGCTGACCAGTGAACTTGTCGGTGCCTGCATGTCGCAACAAAGCGAGCCAGGAGACTGAGAGGGTACGCTAGATCTGGTCGAGTGCAGGTCATCAGGTACATCAGGCACCCCAACAGCTCTGCGTATGGACTAGTAGCCTCGACCGGCTCAGCCGGAACGGGAGCCGAGAGCTTGTGATCTACAGGCAGAGGGGTGGGGTGTGCTGAGGAGAACTGGAGACTGAACCTCTAGAGGATCTGCAGCACCATATGGGACTGGGAGAGTGTGATCGTGCGAGCAGCATGGCCACGAGAGATCTCCAAGCCTAGATAGCGCCTCAGCTCCCCCAAATCTGTACAGGTGTGTCTCTTAAGCAACTCGACCTTCACTGAGGCTAGTGCGACTCTGTCAGGAGTAGCAAATATAAGTTCGCCAGTGCGACTCTGCTGCTGCTTCGGCTCCTACTGCGGCTCTTGCGAAGTCCCCGACTCTGACTGACCTCCCTCTCCGTCCGCACCCGCACCCCCTCCACCCGCTGCTGCCAAACCCCCATGGCCCTTGCCCCCCTTGCCCTTGCCCTTGCCACTAGAGGAGCGGCCGGGGGCAGAGGTAGCCACTGCGGTCTCAGCGACAGAGGCGGAGGCACGGACTGTCACTAGGGAGAAAGCGCTGCCCTGAAAGGTAGGGACTGCCGGCGCGCCAGTGGAACCAGCAATGGCGCGGAGGCGGTCCTCTACCTCAGTCGGGGAGGTGGAGAAGAGGTAAAGGGTGAGCTCAGAGGGAGAAACGCGTCACGGGCAGGGGCTTGGCGGTCAGGGAGGCGGGTGACAAGGAAGTAGATAGAGGGGGGGCGGGGTGAGCGCTTGCTGGGCCTCAGTACAAGCCGCACGCCAGCGGGCCTCGAGGGAGCGTAGGTGCTCGACTAAGTCTGCTACAGTGGTGAAGGACGTCAGGTCAGGGTGGAAGAAAGGGAGGAGGAGACGACCAAGAGTGGAAGACGACGGGGTGGAGTACCTAGCGAGGATAGCTAGCCAGAGTGCGCGGGCTGACGCAGCACCCACAAAGTGGGAGTGCTCGTCAACCGACAGGCACCCGAGGATGGCGACGCGAGCAGTGGCATCGCGGGACGCCCAGACAGAGTAGGCAGTACAAGCAGCAGCGTGCACAGCCTGCTGCGCAGACGTCGCATCAGTAGCAGGAGCTTCCGGGCGGGGGACAGCAGAGAGCTCACCAGAGACGTGGGCATCCAGGGACTTGTCATCGACGCGCTAACTCGTGAGCTGAAGAAGATGTGCGTCTTGTAAGGCGGCGAAACCGACTGCCCACCCTTCCCCATTCAGGCGCACAACGAAGACGTCGGGCGACGCCATGCTGCCAGCTGCGGCCGTGAAGGTAGAGGCGGCAAAAGGAGGGACAGCGAGGACAGCTACTACTGGGGCAGCCGGGATAGGGGCTGCAGTGGGAGCCGGTGGCAGCGGTGGCTGCTAGCTAGCAGCGGGGTGGCGACGGCGGCGGGCCAGCAGTGAGCTGGCTAGCGGCAGCAGCTGTGCGAGCTGGCTAGCGGAGGCGGCTGCATAGCTACGGGCGAGCCGCAGCGGTGGTGGCAGCTGCGGCTGCAGTGGCACTGGTTGCTGGCAGCAAGAGCAGCGGCAGTGGCAACTGCAAGGGCAGCGCGGCAGCTGCAAGGGCAGCGCGGCAGCTGCAAGGGCAGCGGCGGCAGAGACAGCTGTAAGGGCAGCGGCAGCAGCGGCGGCTGCAAGGGCAGTGGCGGCAGCAGAAGCTGCAAGAGCAGCGGCAGCAGTGGCGCTGCAAGGGCAGCAACTGCAGCGGCAGCTGCAAGGGTAGCGGCGGCAGCGGCGGCAGTGGTGGCTGCAAGGGCAGCAGCTGCAGCAGCAGTGGCGGTAGCGGCAGCGGCAGTGGCAGTTGTGGCAGTAGCAGTGGCTGCAGTGGCAGCAGCGGCTGCGGTAGCGGTAGGGACTGCAGCAATTGCGGC